TCCCCCCTCGACCAGGTGTAGGAGAGATGGACAACCCCTGGGCACCCCGTACCCTGGTGAAGATGTCCACCTTGCCAGTATGAAATGCGTTGCAGTTGGAAGCTCTTTTGTACTGGGGACCATTTTCTTCATCCTTACATCCTCCAAGGAAGCATTTTGATGCCACAGTCCCCGGGCAACGTGTCCATCCTTCCCACTTTCTTCTGGTGGGACACAGGGTGGTGTGTCCCCAGCCAGACTGGGCAGTTGGCTTTGGCTCCTCTGTCCCTGGACAAGAGTCACTTCGCTGAGATTTATCCAAAAAGCTTTGCTTTCCCTACAGCTTTCCAAAAACAGTAGTAATTGAGGCAGTGGTAATGAGCTGGAAATGAAATGAACTTCATCAAGCTTCATTTGGGCACCAGGAGGAGAAGGCCTGCTCAGTGGCTCCAGCTGATCCGATGCCACCACCTTTTACTGAAACATAGAATGGTCTGAGTTGGAAGGGACCTCTGAGATCATCGAGTCCCACCATCAACCCACCACTGCCAAAACCACTAACTCGTGTCCCTCAGCACCACGTCTGCCCGGCTTTTAAATCCTTCCAGGGATGAGGACTCCACCACTGCCCTGGCTGAATGGTGCTGCAAAGCTCTTCTCAACCTTTTTCATCAGAAATAAAGCTATTTCTATAGGGACACAGGTTTTATTTGTAGGACAGATGTTGTCTGGAGACCTAGATGATAGGTTCTTTGTGCTATGATGCTATTTGTTCTATGATTTCTACAAATTTAATGGAGGGACTAGACCCGAGACAGAAGATGGAGCCTTGGTCTTCTGTAGTTGGGTGAGAGATGTGCTCCAGGCTGCTCTTCCTGGTGGCTGCCCCATCCTTGGAGGGGTTGAAGGCCAAGTTGGAGGGAGCTTGGAGCAACCTGGTCTGGTGGGAGGTGTCCCTGCCCAGGGCAGGGGGGTTAGGACTGGATGGTCTTGAAGGTCCCTTCCAACCCAACCCATTCGATGATTCTGTGATCTTTCCTTGCAGATCTTAATGAAATATCATTAAATCTGTTAAGTACAGAGAGAAGGGGGCAATAATCAAAGGCGCAATCAAAGCTTGCACTCCATGATCAATAACTGCAAGCAGCTTCATAAATGTTTTATGTTTGAAATGTTTGCAGTGCGGATCGGCAGCGAGCCAGCTGTTCCAACAAAAAGTGAAATGTAATAACAAGCCCGTTTTAATCATCTCATCTCCTTATGGAGAGGAATGAATCACTAGGAAAAAGGATTTTTCAAAAGCAGCTTCCGTGATGGAGATGGCTGGGAAGCCTAATTTGGAATTAACGGGGGTATTTCCTTAAAAAAAATGGAGTTGGGAGAAGTGGTTTTGTGTTCCCTATGAAAGCGTGGTGGTGGTACGTGCTCGGTGGTACATGCTCTCTCCTGGGAGGACTTAATGCAAAGATTTAATGTTCTCTTCTACCTGAAAGGGTTCAGAGCATGACAGCTTTGAATGGTCCTCTCGGTGCAGGACCATCGTGGCATTTAGGCAGGAGGTTGGTTGGACTGTAGACAGCAAAAGTCAAGACCCCTGGGAGCAGAAGAAGAAAGAAGACAAGTAGGACCATGATCCTTTCACCTCATATTTGGGCATTCAAGTTCAAGGTGGTGTCTAGGACTCTCTTGTCCATAGGCTGTGGTGCAAGCTTCTGAATCGAGACGCCTTAGAGCCCAAGGCTTGAACCCATCAATAGCCCACTGAGAAGGTCAGTGTCTTGTGATAGAGCTTAAGGCAACAGTCTTGGGGTCACTTGGGTTGGACTATAGACAGTAAAAGTCAAGACCCTGGGGAGCAGAAGAAGAGAGAGAAGAAGTAGGACCGTGATCCTTTCACCTCATATTGGGGCATTCAACTTCAAGGTGGTGTCTAGGACTCTCTTCTGCATCAGTGCACCTAAGAGCTCAAGGCTGGAGCCCATCAATAGCCCATGGAGAAGGTCACTGTCTTGTGATAGAGTTTAAGGCAACAGTCTTGGAGTCACTGAGGTCTTTTCCTTCCAGAGCTTCACTCATGGAAGGAAGCACCTTCACTTCAGGTGCTCCTCTGCCCCGGGGCTTTGGTATGAGCCACATTCCCACCAGCACAGGCAGGGTGGCCTTGGGTGCAGAAGGCAGAGCTTCAGAAAGTTAAGAAAGCATCAGGTTTGAGGGAGATTTAGCATATTTAGGCAGTTGCCTACATTCCTATTTTGATGTAGTTCCCCACATTCCTATTTTAGGGACTTGTGTCTTTCTTGTATCTTATTAACTATTATTATCAGAAGTTTAACTGAACAATAGCAAGGAGGAAGTTTCATTGGAAGAGCATTGAAAGCTCATGAGAGCAGACATTGTGTTCCTGCTGGTGTTGAAGAGCAGTTGACTACGTGGGCATCTGAAAATGAGTGGGGTCAGTGCTAGAGTCCCTCAATACAAAGATGCCACCCCTTTCTACTCCTACAAAAAATCAAATTTGGAGGGTTACTGGACGTCTTAAAACCCTCATACTCTACAAGTGGCCAGGTCTTCTCAGCAGCTATTGGCCACCTCAGGCTGTGAAGGCCTCCTGTGAAGGCACAAATTGGAACATATGAAGTTCCATCTCAACATGAGGAGGAACTTCTTTCCTGTGAGGGTGGTAGAGCCTTGGCAGAGGCTGCCCAGAGAGGTGGTGGAGTCTCCTTCTCTGGAGACATTCCAAACCCCACCTGGATGGGTTCCTGTGGGACCTGCTGTGGGTGGCCCTGCTTTGGCAGGGGGTTGGAGGAGATGATGATCTCCAGAGGTTCCTTCCAACCCCGTATCATTCTGCGATACTGTGATTCACCCCAGTAATAACAGAAAGACAGTTAATGCATGTTTCTAAGGTCACTTTGGGGGGAAAAAATAAATAATTTGACCATTTTTGGCATTGGGGCTGATTGCTGCTGGTGATTAGGAGTAATGCCACCAAAAAAAACCCCAAAATTGGCAGCGGTGAGAGCAGCAGCGAACTCTTTGCAAGCACTTGGGGTATTTATGGAACAGGCTGAGATGTTGAACCCATCTTCGTGGGCATTCTGAGAAGAAGGGTGGCTTTCAGAATATATTGAAGCATTATGGTATAAAAAAACCTTCATCAGTCCTCTTTTTGCCCTCTTTATCCTTTTTTTTTCCTTTGAGAAAGGATGCTGGTAGCTGCAAAAGGCCGACTTGAGAAGAAACAAGATTTAATGTCTTGTTTTAATGGAACATAAAGCTCTTCTAAGACCTCTCTGCCCTTTTTTTTTTAAAAAAAAAAAGAATAATTTAGGAAAAAGATTTAAAACTTAATGCCAATTTTCGCCAGATTATTATTTGACAGAAGGGATTGGGAGAGATTTATGAAATGCTTTGCGTGGGATGAAAAGGCGGAGACCTTAAGCGCGTTAGAGCCCCCGTCGAAATATTGAAATAGAGCAAAAAAGAAAGAGGGGAGAAGGAAATAAAACCATTTTAAACTCCTCCGCGGTGCGTCTACACCTGAAATGGTGATTAAAGGCTGTTTGTCATTTGTTGATGGCAATTATAATTTTTTTTTAATTTTTTTAATTTTTCCATTCCAGTTATACTTGAGTTGAGGAGGACATCCCAAATGATGTGATGTAGTTGACGTGTGAGAATTTGTATAACACAAGCTTGACCCAATGCAGTTTCTTTAACCTTCTTTAACTTCCTTTTAATTAGAAGGGATGGGTTTGTGGTGTTAATTGAAGAGGGGTTGGGTGTTTTCTTCACCCACCGGCACCATCCTGGTTTCAAGGCAATCAAGGCCAGGTTGGAGGGGACTTGGAGCAACCTGGTCTGGTGGGAGGTGTCCCTACCTGTGCAACTGGATGGTCTTTAAGTTCCCTTCCAACCCAAACCATTCTAAGATGCTTTGATTGGAGCTTATACTACTGAGGACTAACTTTTAAGGTGAAATGAGGGTTTGTAGATGATAGAATAACGCAGGTTGGATGCTGGGATGGCTCTGGTCCAGCCAAAGCAAGTTTAACACAGTTGATTTGATGACTTTTGGAGGGTTGGTGTTTATTTGTGGGTTTTTCTGATGGTTCCTCTAATGGGAATCCTGAGCTTGACCTGGTCTTGGATGATCAGGTTTGCATGTCTCCTAGATTTGCTACTACCCCATCTATTGCGTGCGTTAGATCTTTGGTCTAATTATTTCCCAGAAATTGAATTTTAAGAATCATAGAGTATCGGGTTGGAAGGTACCTCAAGGATCATCTGGTCGGACCTTAAAGGGGAAGTCCATCCCTTGAGCCAAATTTGATTGGAGCTTATACTACTGAGGACTAACTTTTAAGGTGAAATGAGGGTTTGTAGATGATAGAATAACGCAGGTTGGATGCTGGGATGGTTCTGGTCCAGCCAAAGCAAGTTTAACACAGTTGATTTGATGACTTTTGGAGGGTTGGTGTTTATTTGTGGGTTTTTCTGATGGTTCCTCTAATGGGAATCCTGAGCTTGACCTGGTCTTGGATGATCAGGTTTGCATGTCTCCTAGATTTGCTACTACCCCATCTATTGCGTGCGTTAGATCTTTGGTCTAATTATTTCCCAGAAATTGAATTTTAAGAATCATAGAGTATCGGGTTGGAAGGTACCTCAAGGATCATCTGGTCGGACCTTAAAGGGGAAGTCCATCCCTTGAGCCAAAGACACAAAGATGGAGCCTTGATGGAACAACCCTTTTCAGTATTTCATCTCTTGGTGGGGCTAAATCTGCAGGAATCTTTCTGTGGTGTATTTGTGGGTTTATCATCCCTTTTTGAGTTTTCTCCAGAGTTTTTGAGGTGTTAGGTGCTGAAGTGGTGCCGGTGCAGGCAGTAGATGATCTGAAAGGTCCCTTCCAACCTAGGGACTTCTACCCCTTGGAGGTGTGCGCTGGGCTGGGTCGTGCCACACGATGGGGGAACGGGATTTTCCCCTCATCCTCTCCTTTCCTTTCCATGCAGTGCAAGTCCCCGGGCCGGTGGAGAACCTACGGGCTGTGTCTACCTCACCCACCTCCATTCTGGTCTCCTGGGATCCCCCAGCCTACGCAAACGGTCCCGTTCAAGGCTACAGGCTCTTCCTCACGGAGACGGCGACGGGGAGGGAGCAGGTAAGCGGTGGCCAAAGAGGTTCTGCTCCCATCTGCCAAAAGGAGATGTTTGGTGGAGGCATCTGCAGGTCTTGAAAGTGCTCAAAGGGAGAGATTTTACTGATTAATCCTCCAGGTTATAACTAAAGGTCGCACAGACCAGTGAGAAGAGAGAAAATGGAGTGAAATAACTTTTCAGCAGTATAAAAGAGGTTCAGGAGGTGGAAAGAAGCAGCCTGTTATTTTTTAACCATTCTTAGCTTTATGTTAAAATTTAGTAATAATGCTAAAGGGTATTTAAAGAGCCTTTGGACTCCCCCTTTATTTGTGCAACATCACATTGAGTTTGTACGTGTGGTATTTGCAGGAGGTAGATTTCTAGTTGCTTCTTGGAATTTCTTTGAAGCAGGGAGGCTAAAATAATCCAAATCCATAAAATGATGCCTGTTCTCTCCAGACTGATGGATGCTTGTGGCAATAATTGATAGGGAAAGAAATCAAGGATCTTTGGGGTTTTTTTGACCTGATCATCCCAGGCATCAGCGGTCTTGTGCCTCAGTAGCTTTATGGGAAGTTTTATAATTCCCCTTTTGATTCTTTGCCTTTATTTTTCTGCTCTGTCTGTGGAGTGGCAGGAACTGGTTTAACCACCCCAAATCCCCTTTTCTCCTGCATCCTAAGTAACTAAACTCAACTCGGAGGCGCTGAAATCCCTTCCATCAGATGATGACCGAGAAGCCAGCTGTAACGAGCCCTTCTGGTCCCAAATTACCTTTTTATTCCCACTTAAATAAGGCTTTAGCTCCACTTCTCCAAGAGTGAAAAGCTCTGCTCTAATCCTCTCGTCCCTCGGGGCTGGCTCTCACCTGTCCCCTTGGTTTCTCACCTAGAACGTGGAGGTGGACGGGCTCTCCTACCGTTTGGAGGGGCTGAAGAAGTTCACCGAGTACAACCTCCGCTTCCTCGCCTACAACCGCTACGGCCCCGGCGTCTCCACCGAGGATGTGACGGTCACCACGCTCTCAGATGGTGAGTGGAGGACGGAGGGGCTCCGGGGTGGGCAGGTTGGACCTGTTGGGTGCGATCACCGGGCTTCTTCTTCCACCAACGTCTTTCAAAGGAGGAATTGGATGAACCTTAGATTCGGTAACCTCCTTGCAATGAAGCGAGGAGCTTATTGAACCCTCTCACCCTTTTTTGGGTGTCTGTTTTTGTCAGTTAGGTTGACGGTTGGACAAGATGATCTTTAAGGTCCCTTCCAACCTAGAAGATTCTGTGATTCTGTGAACCCAAGGTTCCCATGGAGTGGTACCTTCTGAGGTGGTGCTCTTCTCCAAGGATAATTGGTTCAGTTCATTATTCCAATGTTTAGTAATAAGGACAGTCTACTTTTCTCTTTATTTTCAATTTAACTTTAGCACAGGTGTATCCTTTCAACTATTCAACTTGAAGAACCAACCACCTGGTTTTTCCTTGTGTCTTAAACACAAATGAGCCAGGGCTTCCATCTTTGCACTGTCCTCCTTCCTCCTGCCGTGCTCCTACGGCTCATGAGCGATAAATTGAGTAGGATTTTGTCTTGGGAAGCACTTAGTTGTGTCTGATATCGTAAAACTTGTGCTCGACTCCTCGGGAGGTCACTGGGCCTGATCCCCAAGATGGGGAATAACTTCACTGAGGTCATTGGGGCTCCAAAAGTGTAGAAACTGGGTGGAACTGGATGATCTTCAAGATCCTTTCCAACCCAAACCGTTCTGGGACAAGAGGGCGATTGGTGGCCTCTAAAACAGACCCTGAGGAAGGGGCTGGGGGTGTGGGGAACCCCAAGTGGTTGACCTGGTGAACCTCAACCCCGTTTCAATCTGTTCTATTCTGGACTGTATCTTCATGGATGGTTTCATCCACAAAAACCCCACCTGGGCTGACAGGGAGATTTTACCTTTGACACCTCAGCACTATTTTTTCGAGTGCTACTTAAATCTACCCAGCAAATTCAGTTTTTTCCCTTGTAATACAGGCTGGATCTTGGCAGAATAAATTACTTCACACTTATAATTATAAAAACAAAAGGAAAACAAGTGAAAATGAATATTTTGCATAATGTATGGAGATTTAATTCACACTCTGAAGTGTAGAAACCGCGGCCCCGTATTCCACTTTGGTTTTCAAATGTCACCGTAAGTGGGAGAGGGAAAGATTGTTATTCATGAGGCTGAAAATTAGCCCCGGCAAGTGTTTCAAATGCTTCACCTGTCTGGGAAAAGAAATCACTGCTAACGAGAAGGTTTGCAGGAGGCTATTCCCAAAAACAGGGGGGTTCTTAAGGTGCCATCGTTTTGGAAATCTGGAAGGTGGTGGTCTTTATTTTTCTCTTTATTCAAGCAAAAGTCTGTTCTTTAAAGAAATCAGTCATCTGCAGCCTTCCCAGCCTTCCTCTTGGTTTTGGAGCGGGTGTAAAAGAAGGGGAAATCCCTGTAGGATGTTTTTTTCATCCTCCTTAATTCTGCCTCTGCCTGAAACCACTTTGGTTTCTTGCACGAAGAAGAGGAACCGAACGAGAGCTTGGCTTTGGCCAAGGTTGGGTTGGTTCTTGCTGTCCCACTGCCGAGAAGGAAAGGAGGGGATGGAGAGAGCAGCCCCAAAACTTTCTACAATTTCTTCTTTTATGGTACCAGGCAGAGATCTTTCGCAGGGTTCAAGTCCTTTTCTGCTGGAGGATGCACAATAAAATAGCAACCCATAACTTGGGCAGATTTTGTTCCTCTGTCCCCTTCCACCACCCGTCCCATGGAGAAGAGCAGCTCCCCAGGGTGCCCCGTGATGTTTTTTTAGATTGCACCCCATCTTCCAGCGTAAATTGAGATGCAGCAGCCTCATCAGGGACCACTGTAGTCAGAGGGATGGGAAGTGGCCACCTTTCTCCACTCCTACCACCAGACAAAACCGTAAGGAGAAGCACCTTGATTGTCCCAACCAGCTCCCTTAGGTCTTTGCTTCATGTTGCCCAGAGAAGCTGTGGATGCCCCATGCTTGGAGGGGTTCAAGGCCAGGTTGGACAGGGCTTGGAGCAACCTGGTGTGGTGGGAGGTCACCTTGGCCATGGCAGGGGATTGGAACTGGATGGTCTTCAAGGTCTCTTCCAATCTAAACCATTCTGGGCTTCTCCATTCCTGCTGGGGAGGGACTCTTGATGAGGGAGTGGAGCCATAGGACCAGGGGGAAGGGTTTGACACCGAAAGATGTCCTCCTTCCTCCTGCCGTGCTCCTACGGCTCATGAGCGATAAATTGAGTAGGATTTTGTCTTGGGAAGCACTTAGTTGTGTCTGATATCGTAAAACTTGTGCTCGACTCCTCGGGAGGTCACTGGGCCTGATCCCCAAGATGGGGAATAACTTCACTGAGGTCATTTGGGCTCCAAAAGTGTAGAAACTGGGTGGAACTGGATGATCTTCAAGATCCTTTCCAACCCAAACCGTTCTGGGACAAGAGGGCGATTGGTGGCCTCTAAAACAGACCCTGAGGAAGGGGCTGGGGGTGTGGGGAACCCCAAGTGGTTGACCTGGTGAACCTCAACCCCGTTTCAATCTGTTCTGTTCTGGGCTGTATCTTCATGGATGGTTTCATCCACAAAAACCCCACCTGGGCTGACAGGGAGATTTTACCTTTGACACCTCAGCACTATTTTTTCGAGTGCTACTTAAATCTACCCAGGAAATTCAGTTTTCCCTTGTAATACAGGCTGGATCTTGGCAGAATAAATTACTTCACACTTATAATTATAAAAACAAAAGGAAAACAAGTGAAAATGAATATTTTGCATAATGTATGGAGATTTAATTCACACTCTGAAGTGTAGAAACCGCGGCCCCGTATTCCACTTTGGTTTTCAAATGTCACCCTAAGTGGGAGAGGGAAAGATTGTTATTCATGAGGCTGAAAATTAGCCCCGGCAAGTGTTTCAAATGCTTCACCTGTCTGGGAAAAGAAATCACTGCTAACGAGAAGGTTTGCAGGAGGCTATTCCCAAAAACAGGGGGGTTCTTAAGGTGCCATCGTTTTGGAAATCTGGAAGGTGGTGGTCTTTATTTTTCTCTTTATTCAAGCAAAAGTCTGTTCTTTAAAGAAATCAGTCATCTGCAGCCTTCCCAGCCTTCCTCTTGGTTTTGGAGCGGGTGTAAAAGAAGGGGAAATCCCTGTAGGATGTTTTTTCATCCTCCTTAATTCTTCCTCTGCCTGAAACCACTTTGGTTTCTTGCACGAAGAAGAGGAACCGAACGAGAGCTTGGCTTTGGCTTTTCTACCTGATATTTTTTAAAATGAGGGGAGCGTGAGAGAACTGGATGGACTTTGAAGATCCCTTCCAACCTTTTCTCTACCAAAAAACCCCACAAAATCTGAGTACCTTGCCATACGAACCTTCTTCCCATCAGTATGTCTCCAGCAGTGAGACTCATCTCACCTACCTTTAGACATGTGGTCCAAGACTTTTCCAGTATATCCAATGCTTCTTCCACCACCGAGTCATCCCGTTGCAAGACGAAGGGGGTGAGTTCTCCCCGGGTGCCTCTTGTCTCTGCTCCTCACTTATTGCAGAGCTAACGCTGGGTAAAATGAGTTCAGCTCTAATTTCTAATGGTATAATTAAGCCCTGAATAATAAACAAAAGAACACATTTTACCAGGTGCATCCAATTGCTTTCTTTGATCAAGATAGAAACCGGGAGGAAGTCATTGTAATCTCGCAGGCGCTGGGTTTGCCGGGGGAGCTCCCTAATTTTTATGCAACCTGAGATACTCAATCAGGGTCTGTGATTTGGTGATGAAAAAACATCTCCTTGACTGAGCAGACTCAGGTCTGGATTTATTTTGGGTTTTGGTTGAAAAGAAGGAAAGATAAGGAGTGCATCGGTGAACGTTCGTGCACGCAACAGAGTTGGGAAATACAACAAGCGTTGGCCAAGGAGGAATAATCACAACGATAGAAAGAAAAACAATAATTAGAATAATGAGAAGGGTTTAAGGTGATTTAAATGTCACGGTGAGCTTTTGCTGCCCAAGAGAGAGGGGAAAGAGAAGAGGAATCACGTTTGAGAAACCGGGGCCACGAGCATTTCTGCCTCTCACGGACAAGAGCAAATATTCTCCAGCAAAACCAGGCTTTTCTGGGAGATGTCGGCATTCGTCTAATTCTGAAACGTCCAAAAATATCTCATTTTTCTTTTTCTTCTCAATGCCAAGCGCAGCACGGAGGCCCTTTTCTGACTGATATTTTTTAAAATGAGGGGAGCGTGAGCAGGGCCATCTCCGCCGTGTTAAGGGAGGGTGAGATGTTTTGTGTAGCAGCTGTGCTTTAGATCAACTTGCCATCATGGTGGGTAGTATGGAAACAAATAAAGAATGATCCCTGCACTGGAGAAACCCAAAAAGAGGAAAAAAAAGAGGTTGAGGTGGGAAGAGCTTTGCGTAAGGAGCCCCGGCAGGTTGGGGTAGAGCGAGACTGGGCTTGGGTCCCATGGCCAAGGATGATCGTCTTCCTCAGCCTGGACCTTCCTGAGCCTCAGGTTGCACCAGGGGAAGTTTAGGATGGATATTAGGAGAAGTTTCTTCACCAAAAGGGTTGCCAAGCCTTGGAAGAGGCCACCTAGAGAAGTGGTGGAGTCCCCATCCCTGGAGGGATGTAAAAGCCGGGCAGACGTGGTGCTGAGAGACATGGGTTAGTGGTGGCTTTGTCAATGTTGGGTTGATGGTTGGACTTAATGATCTTAAATGTCCCTTCCAACCTGGACAATTCCATGATTCTAACTCCCAGGTGCTTCAGGCTGTTTCTGACCCTGGACCTTTCCCAACAGCAGATCTCTCTATCTTGAGGTCCCCAGACTGAGGAAGACTTTCAATTTTCCTTCTTATATTCACTTTGCTGTACCTCTGCCTCAAAACAATTTGAGTTTTTAGATTATTTAGATTCAAATGCAGGTTTTTTTTTCTTTTTCCCCCCTTTTTTATGATCCACAGAGCCTTCATGAAGGACAACAATCTTCACGTGGGCCTTTGCTGCCAACGGGACCCTCCTCTTTACCTGCTGTTGCTTTTGCTCTTTTGTAGCCTGCGTTTAAAATACTCTTTTTTATCTTATTAGCCCTGATAAATGACTTAGTTCTGACTGATTTCAATCCTTAAATAGCAGCGGGCGCTGAGGATGCTCCAAAGTGCTGCTCTTTGGGGATTTCTGTGTTGAGTGTGGACGTGACTAGACAGAGGCCAGGGGAGGAGCTGTCTGACCAGCGCTGCTTAAAATAATCTGGGAAAAGCAGAATTTAGACCATTTTTCTGCCCTCCTTTCGTTGAGTGACTGCACAGGGGTGGTTTCTTCTCATATTCATTCCTGCTACAATATTGTCAACTTTATATCCTCGTTTATTTAATACATAGGATTTCACCAGTTCCTTCTGGGGAAAGCTTTGGCCAGAATAAGTGATTTGCAGAAATATTTATGTATATATATAGGTTTGGTGATGGATGTCCAAATCCTAAATAGCAATTTTCAGTGAAGAAGTTGAAAAAAAGGATGTGCCTGATTTCTGTTATAGATGGGATCCTGCTCTGGGTGGCCCTGCTTTGGCAGGGGGTTGGAGGAGATGATCTCCAGAGGTCCCTTCTAACCCCACATCATTCTGGGATTCTTTGAATCTAGCTCGTAGCTCTTTGTCTATTAAATTATTGACTGCAGCCAGGAGTCCTTTCCCCATTCAGATAACAAGAGATAATAATCCAAGCACTTCTTAACGCTACGCTCATTTAAAACAAATTAATTTATTTGGGCTCAAAGATGTTGCAAGTCTCAGATGATTCTTTTTAGATCCTTGAACTCATTCAGGTGTGTGGAGAAAGACCTGGGAGTCCTGGTGGACAACAGGATGCCCATGAGCCAACAATGTGCCCTTGTGGCCAAGAAGGCCAATGGCATCCTGGGGGGCATCAGGAAGACTGTGGTCAGAAGGTCGAGGGAGGTCATCCTGCCCCTCTGCTCTGCCCTGGAGAGGCCCCAGCTGGAGCACTGGGACCAGTTGTGGGCTCCCCAGTTCCAGAAGGAGAGGGAACTGCTGGAGAGGGGACAGCAGAGGGCTACAAAGATGCTGAGGGGCTGGATCATCTTTCTTAGGAGGAAAGGCTGAGGGACTTGGGCCTTTTGAGTCTGGAGAAGAGCAGACTGAGGGGGGATCTGATCAAGGCCTAGAAATACTTGAAGGGTGGGTGTCAGGAGGATGAGGCCAGTCGTTTTTTAGTGGTGCCCAGGGATAAGACAAGAGGAAATGGGCACAAACTTGACCATAAGAAGTTCCACCTCAACATGAGGAGGAACTTCTTTTGTGTGAGGGTGGCAGAGCCCTGGCAGAGGCTGCCCAGAGAGGTGGTGGAGTCTCCTTCTCTGGAGACATTCCAACCCCACCTGGACACGTTCCTGTGGGACCTGCTCTGGGTGGACCTGCTTTGGCAGGGGGTTGGAGGAGATGATCTCCAGAGGTCCCTTCCAACCTTGTATCATTTTGTGATGCTCTGTGATTCTTTGAGAACTGCAATTAGAACGATTTTGCCCGAGTGTTCTTGTTAATATCATATGAAAAGAGTTTAAACAGCTTTGATCTGACTCATATTCATATGTGTACACCAAAAAATCATGTTCTCTCATTTTCCCTAATACATCACATTCCAAACTCTTCTTAAATTGGATGTTTGCTGTGGTGCTGCTTCACCTCTTTCTTTCCATGTTGAGGGCCACCTTCCTCTAAGGATAAACTACATCCCTGCTTTTCAGTAGCCCGGGTCAGCAGGCAGGTGTTATTCCTCTGAAATGAGGATATAAAGTATAAAAATGAGGAAATAAAGTATAAAAATAAAGGAAAATAAAGCTTCTTGTTCATGATGCATCACCAACTACGAAGCATTTTTTTCAAGCTCTTGGCCCCTCGCTGGTCGAATTAGTATTTGCCATCAGCGATAGTTATTAATCCCATTTAAGAATGATATTTATCAGAATGGATGTAACAAAGTTGAGTTGTATAAAACCAGGTGTGGGTTTTAATACGTACAACCAGCAGAGCCTTGATGTAAAACACTGTTTTTAAAATAATATCTAAAAACAAAGTATTTCCTCGCTCCCCCTTTAGGCATCGTTATAAACAGGGTGCACTGGTGCCACTGGGAGGAATGCCCTCCCTCTGCCTGTAGAGAAGAAATATATTCTGAAATGCACTTGAATAACAAAAAAGCAGATTAATTGTGGCTTCTCCTTGTTTATTTCTGACCAAGTTGATAACAAATAGCTGCATTCCAGTCGCGGGTCTCGCCGCGGGGAGGCTGCTGAGTGGCTCTTTAAAGGGTTTACTAATAGGTCTATCAAAAAAAAAGGAGAAGAAATGAACAGATGCGTTTGGTTTTTCTCTCCCTGGGGGACCTCTGAAGTGCCACCTGGATTAGCTGCACGGTTGTGATCAGATTATAAACTAGGTGTAAAAGCTACGCTCTTTTTTTTTTTCCTTTCCAATGAGAAGAAATATTTGATGTGACCTCGTCTGGCTTAAACGTTAACGACAATATTTCCCTTTTTTTTTGTTGTTTTTCTTCCCTTTCAGTGCCCAGCTCGATGCCTCAGAACGTCTCCTTGGAAGTGGTCAACTCCAGGGTAAGTCTGCCACCTCCTCGGCACCTCCAAGCCAACAATCACCACTATTTGCCTAAATATTTCGATTTTCTGGGTAGCTTTTAAATATCAAAACACACCCAATCTGCCCCGTGCAGAAGGTTCCCTTCACTTGTCCCAGAGATCACGTTAAAATAACAACTAAAACCCCCCAAAAAAGGTGTTTTAGAGAGAAGCAGAGAGGCTTTGGCAACGGTGGTGTCACTTAAACGTAGGTGAACAAGCAGAAGCTGTTCCCTGATTGCAGATTAACAGCTGCAATAAACATAACTGCTCTTTGATTAAATGGAACCATGTCAGGGCATAATGAGAAGCAGAATTATTCCGGAGGGGAGGGGGGGGGAAGAAATATTTTATGGGTGGCTTAAATGCACCACGTGCAGGTAAGTCTGTTGTCAGCTTGTTTATTCCAACAAATATATATGTTTTCTCCAAGGTGTGTTTCTTTCTCTTCAATCCAATACTTCCCTTCTTAAAAAAAAGTCTTAACTCATCCCTGATGAAGTGGTTTATATTATTTCACGAGATAATATTGTGCATAATAGGTGTTAATTACGTTTACTGCTGGAGTGCTGTTTCTGAATATATTCTGAACGTTTTTTAGATCCTTTCTTTCCTTTTTATTCATTTATTGGAGCTGTAGAAGCTTTTATTCTGATTTAACGATGGGCCCGGTTGGGTGGGGAAAAGCTTCTGCTTCAGAAAGTGGGAAGTGAAAGGCACAAAAAACCCCACCCGAGGCATCACGTCTGGGTGTCCCCTTGGATTTTTGGAGATGTCCTCCTGAGGAGCAGGAGCCCAAAGCTCACTCAGGAGGATAAACTACAATTTAAAGGAACATTTATACCATCTCTGATCTGCTGGGAACACCGAGTACCTGTCACTTTGATCTTTTCTCCCTCCACTGCTTGTTTTCATGACATGGAACGTATAGTCTGATTTTTAAAATTTATTTATTTTTTTAAATACACCCAGCTCCAGTTGCTTTTCAGTTCCTCTTAGCTGTAGAGCCCAAAGGGCATCGGTGTCTCGGCACATCTTGTTCCGACCCTTCGCCTTCGCTTTTTTTTGCCTGCTTATTCTCCAGGTAAAATGTCACAGAGCGGCTGATCGCCTTCCCTGACCTTTTGTGGCCATCATTTACCTTTAAAAAGCTCAGAAAAAAAATAAAGAAACAAGGCACCGGGGGGTCGGGGGGGAGACAGCGCAGCTCAGGATGGTGTGGGGATGCTCAAATGTACAAGTTTGCTGATGATACAAAACTGGGAGGCCCTTTAAAAAGCTCAGAAAAAAAGTAAAGAAACAAGCCACCAGGGGAGAAGGCTTGTGGGGATGGTGTGGGGATGCTCAAATCTAGATGGACGCCTCCCACAGCATCCCTCTCGCTGTCAGTATCGGTTTTAAATCGGCTTTAAATCTGGTACCCTGTGGGATAGGTGGAAAAAGGTATTTTAAGGTATTATTAAAAGGTATTATTGAAATTGGGGAGCTTTATTGGGGAGAAAGAGAGATGGGGAACCCGTTGGGGCTCTTCAGCGCTGATACCCCGCGTATCGGAGTCTTGAGAAAGCTCAACTAGAATTGAAATACTCCCATCTAGGTAATAAGGGAACACATTTGATTTAAACGCTCATAATTCCTCCAACTGATGAAATCAAACCAAATAACTAAAGAACCCCCATAGTTTGCAGACTGGATTTGAGCGGGGCACGGGAGAGCCCGAAGGCTGGTCTGGGCAGTTCCTAGAATTGTTTTAAGTTTTTATCTCTGCTTTAATAAGATTTCTCTAGTTACGCTCTTTTTCTTCGGCGGTGGCAGAGTCTATTCATTTACTAACCCACGGAAGGCTCTGGCTCTGGATTGCTCTAATCAGGATTATTGCTTAATATCGATGACTTTCTGGGACTGGGAGGACCTGGGTCAGAGGAGAACTGGTAACGGGGAGGGCTGTGACAGAAATACAGTTCCCTGCTAAAAAGAGATTTCCCTGGAAAACCCGACGCCCAAGCGGCCAAGAAAAAGAAGGGGTGATTCAAAAGTGTAGGGTGCTGCACTTGGGGAGGAATAACCCCCTGCACCAGGACAAGTTGGGGGTGACCTGCTGGAGAGCAGCTCTGAGGAGAAAGATCTCGAGTCCTGGTGGACAACAGGGTGCCCACGAGCCAGCAATGGGCCCTGGTGACCAAGAAGGCCAATGGCATCCTGGGGGGCATCAGGAAGAGTGGGACCAGCAGGTGGAGGGAGGTCATCCTGCCCCTCTGCTCCGCCCTGGGGAGGCCCCAGCTGGAGCACTGGGTCCAGTTCTGGGCTCCCCAGTTCCAGAAGGAGAGGGAACTGCTGGAGAGGGGACAGCAGAGGGCTACAAAGATGCTGAGGGGCCTGGAGCATCTCTCTAATGAGGAAAGGCTGAGGGACTTCTTGGGTCTTTTGAGTCTGGAGAAGAGAAGGCTGAGGGGGGATCTGATCAAGGCCTATAAATACTTGAAGGGTGGGTGTCAGGAGGATGGGGCTGGGCTTTTTTCAGTGGTGCCCAGGGACAGGACAAGAGGGAACAGGCACAGACTTCACCATAGGAAGTTCCATCTCAACATGAGGAGGATCTTCTTCAATTTGAGGGTGTCAGAGCCCTGGCAGAGGCTGCCCAGAGAGGTGGTGGAGTCTCCTTCTCTGGAGACATTCCAACCCCACCTGGACACGTTCCTGTGGGACCTGCTCTGGGTGGCCCTGCTTTGGCAGGGGGTTGGACTGGATGATCTCCAGAGGTCCCTTCCAACCCCTATATCATTCTGTGATCTAATAAGCAAGAAGGGATTTATTCTGACTTCTTCTGTTTGAAAACCCCTTGCGTCACTTAAGGAAAAGGCCGTGAAGAGAGTGATCTGGAGAAGAAGGAGATCCATGCTTTGCTGGGGTTGTAGGAATAAAGAGCTAAAAATTAAAGATACTCCGATTTTGGGGGAGATCCAGTGGATCTGGACTTTTTTGGAGCTGGCATGGGATTTGTGTGGCTGTAGCTGGGGGCCAGGAGCTGGAAAGCGCAGAATTTGCTCCTTTTTAATTTGAGGGTTTTTTTTTTTCCTTAGACCTTGTTTTTTCTCCACCCTTTTCAAGCACCAGCAGGAAGGCAACTCTTTGTGGCTATTTCTGTATTTGTTTACTTCTTTGCTTCCTTGCTTTAAATATTGGTGTGTTTTCCCTTTCTGTAATTTTTTAAGTACTGGGTACTAATTAGCAAATCAGAGGTGCGTAAATAGCTATAGATTTATCCAATTAAAACCGTATTCAACTTTATTTCGTCTTCCCATTTTAAAATACAGAGAAAAGCAAGGAAATAATTAGAACTAAGGGTAGAAGTGGAATTTCTTTGATCATATTTAGTGGTGATTTAATCCCACTTTGATGAAGAGGGGGGGATTTTTTCATGGGACCAGTAACATTCTTGGAAAAGCTAAAAGACCCGTCGTGAATCTGGATTTTGTATCATTTCTTTGGTGTGTGTTTATATTTATACCTAAAAAAAATCTTTGTGGTTATTATAGGGTCATACTGTTGGCAGAATCGTACAGCAAATCAGAATTTGTGCTATTTATGAGATTTAAAAATACCTATAAATAAGCAGCAGGAAGAGTTTTCTTAATTATTAGCTCGCATTAATAAAATACAGAGTTTTATATCAAATTTAACAAAGGAGAAGGTGGCTCTGGCTTGAAATAGCTGTGGATTGTAGACTTTTGTTGTCAGAAGAGGTGGGATGGAGGGTACCAGGAACTCCACCCCTAACACATCACTTAATTTCACATCATTTAAACCCAAAGATACGTGGCTGCTGGAGATGCTTCGCAGGTAGGATGTAAGGTGGATGGATTCTTTGGAGCTACACTTTTAAAAATCACATTGATTTTAGTTTTTAATGTTGCTTCTCTGTCCTTTTCCTAAATTAATTTATCCAAAAATTTATCCATTAGCTGCCACCTCTTATAGGTGCTCACCTAATGCTGCAATTTTACACTGACCCTTATTTGTGGCCAGAAAGGATCTCCTGAAGGAAACAAGCTTCTCATCAAGTTTGACATCATTTAGCCATAGATCAGTCATTGGAAAAAGGTAGTGGTGTCCTAATTAAAGCCATCACCAAACTCTTTGGCAAAGAGAATAAAGCCTTTACGATTTTTCGGGCTGTCAGACGAAAATTTTAGGAAGTTTTTTTCTTCTTTTCCCTCTGCTTTTGGTCCCTCCATTGATTTCTGCCGGGGAGGAGGATGCAGACAGGTGGAGACTTGCTTTGGGATGCTCCGTGCCAGACGTGAGAACAGGCAGGAGCCAGATGTTCCCGCTGCAAAAATCCCTTTTTTTTTTTTTTTTTTCTTTTTTCCCCCCCCCCCCCCATTTCTTGGCCATCTGGGTCTGGAGGCTGCTTTGCACTGACGGCAAGCGATACACTCCATCCTGTCAGCCTGCATTTACCTCAGCTGCTTAACATCTCTCCGCTAGGAAATGTACATTAAAATGGGCTAGAAATGCATCCTAAAGCTTGGGAGGAATCATCACTGAGCTGTGCATCATAGAATGATAGAATTGCCCAGGCCAGAAGGGACCTCCAAAGGTCATCTAGTCCCACCTCCCCGCAGTCAGCAGGGACACCCCCAACTAGACCAGGTTGCCCCATCGAGCCTCTCCTTGAATATCTCCAGGGAAGGGGCCTCAACCACCTCCCTGGGCAACCTGTTCCAGTGCTCCACCACCCTCACAGTGAAGAACCCTCTCCTCATCTCCAGTCTAAAGCTGTTCCCCTCCAGCTTGAAGCCATTGCCCCTCGTCCTGTCACTGCAGGCCTTTCTAAACAGGTTCTCCCCAGCCTTCCTGTAGGCTCCCTTCAGGTACTGGAAGGCTGCTATTAGGTCTCCCCGGAGCCTCCTCTTCTCCAGGCTGAACAACCCCAGCTCCCTCAGCCTGTCCTCGTAGCAGAGGTGCTCCATCCCCCT